AAGTGTTCCCAGAGGGCTTGTGCCTTACCATGCAAGTCCTGACTCAGCAAAACCCAGCAGTGCTGTTCCAATATGAGGCGTGGGAGGAGTGTGCCATGCCCACATGGGAGCTAGTGCACTCCCCGGGAACCACCAGGCACGGCTGTGGGAAGGGGACAAGGGCAATGGCACCACCACAGCCCCTGGTCTGGCATCCCCAGTGCCCATATAGCAGTGCTGTCCCGGCCCCTCTTGCACTCCCATCCTGCTGCCAGTTCCCAACCACACCAGAGGACCTACTGGGGCCCACAGCAAATCCACAGCTAACTCCTATTGACTCAGCTTCCCTTCCCTGCATCTCCCTTAACATGCTATCTGCTTCTGAAATTAACAAACAGGAAAAACGACCATTTTGCTAAGTGCTGAAGTAACCAGTTCTTCTGCCACAAAACCCACTTGCTTTGCTGGCTCTCAGTTTTTCAGAGAAGTCACAGTCTTCCTTCCGATTCCCCTGATCTCTGCCCGGTCATGCCACCACTTTGTTTTGTTCTCCTTTTGAATAAAAATAAAGAAGGTGTTGGCTGAGGGGGGATTTCATGGCTCACAGGAGGACAGTCAGCCTAGAGAAAAGCATTTAAAAGTACACCTTTCAATTTACAGTTCATGTTTTACCTGAATTCAGTGCTGGCTCAGAAAGCTTCTGAGAGCAGATGCAAATCCTCTCGTGGCTCAACATAACCTCAGGCCACTTTGATACTGTTTTCCCTCCAGGTTCATGCAGTTGACCACAATAAGTGTACTTGCTTGTCTTTGGAAAACCACCTCTTTTTCTCTGATAGATAGTTTTTTCTCAACCTTCCAAACTCTAATTTTAATCTAACTATAACACTTCCTATTTCTGCTTTGGGCAGCAAATTCTGCCTTCATTAATTTATTTTTATAGTGTAGTTTTTCCAGCTATACCAAATTTTCTCTCTTCATTTTTTTCCTCCTGTTAGAAAAACTTGTAAATTGAAAGTGGACTTTTACTAAGACAACATTAAAAATTATGCTACAAGAACACTGGACTGATCTTGAGGGCCATTTGCATGTTGGTTGGCTCTTTTTCCCCATGTTTACCCTGTAATTAAAAATAAATTGTACACCATATCTTACTGTATGGAATTTTATGTTTGTAGAAGATATATGTGCTCAGTGAGCCACAGTCCTACATGGTCTTGTTAGCCATAGCTAAAAATTTCACTGTTAAATTTTAGTCAGTGCCTGACAGTGTACAATACTCTGTTCTACTCTCTGAATTCATAAAAATATTGAGCAATCTATATTGCAAACAAAACCACAGTGATACCTGGGCTAAAAAGCCACTTAAGAATATGACAAAAATCTGCTTAAGCCTAGGTAGTTTTCCAAAATGGAGGTTCACCAATAAAGGCAAGCTCTTATGCACAGTTAGCCACTGGGAGTGCTTTGGACTGAGAACAGAGCACAGCATCTGCACCTACTGATCAATCGGTGCAGGGAGGACCAACTGACTTTGGTGAAGATAATTGCTCCAGAGGAAAAAGTCGAAGGGGAGGAAGGCCAAAGTGGCTTAGCATAGTCTGAAACCTTGAGAACACGCTGTTTCTGGTTCATATTGAGGTATTCAAGCTACCTGCAGAAAAGGAGTATTTGGTGCATCCCTCAGACACATCAGAATTCAGGCAGAAATCTCATGGACCTAGGCTGAGTGCACCTTGGATACTTTCATGGTTTTACCTTGCCAACCCTAGAGGGGAGGAATGAAATGGCAGCCTGAGGCGAAATACAGTGAAAAACGTATGTAAGCTGGTTTTGGCTCTGATCTGGGTTTTCTCTCCTTTGAGGATGTTTCAGTCTCCTGCCTGTCCTGTCCCCGTGCAGAGAGGGACATGGCTCCTCTTTTCTGACCCAGTTCTGGGCAGCTAGAAAGAGTTACTACTTAGTGGAGAGGGTAACATAGCACTGAGGGGAACTGCTAGGAAAGCAATATGCCCTTAAAAAGATTTTTAGGAATGAGCTGGACAAACATCCTTCAGCAATTATTTAAATGCTATTGACTCCGCCTTGGCACGAGGCGGGGGACTGCCTTACTTCTCACTCTGCCTTCTTGGACACCCAAGCCCATTCTGCAGTCACCCAAGCCATTCTGCAGTCTGCATTCTGCCTCCATATCCTTTTTCTGACAGATTTGGAGACACCGGAGTAATTTTATCCCTGGTTTTATCACCTTTCTTGGATATTTCTGAAAGCCTCACATGCTGAAATTTAAGGAGAGAACTCTGAACTACAAGCTTGTCTTTGGATATCTCTTTAAAGACACCCCTGTCTATACATCAATTAGATGTTAAGAGGTTTATGGTAACCACCTTTGTGTCTGGTGTTTGCAAGTGATAGCACGAGGGATAGCAGAGGTATAAAATCAGTCTTTGCCATGTATTTCTCTCTGCAGTGTAAAAGCAATCTCTTTCACACATATCCCATTTCCAAGAGTTCCACAAGTCAGTAGATTGCTGCAGACGAATTGCAATTCCTCTGTAACTCCCAACTAATTTGCTAATGCCCTCAGAAGTTTAAAAGCCACTACAGCTGCCTGTTGAACAGCCAGGAGATAGGGTGAGTCTTCTTTAAATGACACTGTGATAATCAGAGAAAATCTACAGTGAAATATATTTAAGGAATGATTTTTGGCTGGAAAACATAGTCCCAAGCCTGAGTCTAAAGAAAACAGGGGAAACAGATCTTTTTCCTAGCCTTACATTCATTTGGCTGTCTTCAACGTGTCTGCCTGGGTTCTGCCAAGGCTGAAGTTGTTGTTACAGCTTCCCAGCTGCTACCTCAGCAACCGTTGTTTGTTTAAGCAAAGAGCCTGTGCGTTCCTGGACACAGCTTCCTTTCTTCTGGTCAGAGAAGGGACAGATCCAGGGGAAAGTAAATGTTGCCAGCTGAGCTGCTGGCTTTTTTTTGCTAGTGAGCATGTAGCGTTTTGCTTCAGGGCAAAATATCTGGTTATCTTCTCTGCTAGGAAGAATGCTTCAGAAGTATCTCTTTGCTTGAAAATGAATATTCACTCGGTGGCATTTGCGGGTTTCAACCAGGATTTCTGGGGGTCACTGGGACTGGATGCTAAAGAGATGTTTCATGCAATGAAGCATATCCTGGGTTTGTGACCACAGATATGCTAATGACCGTGCAAGTACCACAGGTAGCCTCTGGAGCCACAGTGCTCCCAGTGGTCCATGCTTCATGGCTCCTGCAATTTCCCTTCCCCTCCACACTGTCACTGAAGCAAACCTTATGCCAAGTGCTGAAAACTTTTCAAGTACTCTTACTTTCTGGACGAGCTGCAAAAAGGAGTCCTGTTGTAATACATTCAACTTGCACCACAAAGCAACAGTCCATATATTCATGAGACCACCCAAAACACCAGCCAGCTTCCTGATACTGGGTTTTCACAGGCAATGTATAGTCGGAATACTCTCAGTAAAACCTACAGAATTGGCTTACATATCCCCACTGGGGTTCAACCACATGATAAAACCTTACAGTAATGAGCCTGTCGCTCTTAAGGGTGGAGGGGGCAGAGGAGGAAAGAGATGCTGCTTTATCTGTATTACTCCACATCACAGATGCTGACAGAATTATTGATTTAGAACTCACAGCTCCAAAAAGACTCAGTAATGTAATCTTTTTAAGTTAGTTTGTTTTTTTTTCTTTTTCTCTCAGAAGTGATGTTTTCAATAGGCCCCTTAGATATGGGCTCTTTGGGGATGTTGTTAAACTCGCTGCTGCTAAACCATAGTCTCAGCCTTCGGTTTGTTCCACACAACTCGCATGGTCTACCGTCTCTTGGAAGAGCCCATAGCTGTAAGGTCTATTGCTTTACAGGTACTCTAGGAAGATTGAGGGATTAAGTTATACATTATGTAAAACTACCCACTAATCCTCTTAGTGTGCATTACCAGTGAATGGCCTGAAATAGGCTCTCACTAAAAGAGCCCTAACATTCACTTTCTTGATGACATTTTAGTATTTGAGGTTTGTATCATGGATTTTGGTGCTGAAATATTCAGTACACCATCTTCTCTCTGCTGCTAGATCCACTCACATGACTTCGTAGAGTGCTAACAAAATTGCAGTTGGTAAAGCAGATTACATGTTTAACTAGTAGTGAGACATGTATAAAAGAGAATTATATATTTTCTAGAGTGACAAAGTCACCTGGATTTTTTGTTCTTCTTTTTTTTTTTGTTTTGTTCTTTTTTTTTGTTCTTTTTTGTTTTTATAAAAAAAAGAAACAGCTATAAAACCATGATTAAAAATGTTACAAGGGATGATTTTCACTTTAAAATAATGATATTTTTAGAAAAAAAAAGAAGTGATTTATAACACAAAAGTGTTTGGAAAGCATTTGGTTGCTTTGTACTGCCTTCTTTCCCAGTACAGTTTGCTATCTTTTATATAGTCTTGCATAAATGTTTAGATTAGGGGAGAAAAGAAAAATTAAATGTGATGGCTAAGACTTATAAGAGCTGACTCACTGACTTGAGTTATTGCTGTGCAGAAAGTTTGTAAAGCCTTTACATCCAGCGAACATTTAGTGCTACTTCAGCCTTGACAGTTGACCTTTCAATATGATTTGGTTTAGCCACAATAATTGCAGAATCTGCAGTACAGGCGGTGCAGACGACTGCTTAGGAACCCAATTTCTCTCATTAGATCTTACTTCATGCATCTAAAATTCAACCCCCCTTTGCATGTATGTGAAAATTTTCTCGTATTACCTGTTATGGGAACTGAGCAAGGTACAATCCCCTGGCCTTTTTTCTTTTTTTTTTTTTTATTAAATTGATTTTTGATTTCTCCCATAATTTTGAATATTCCTGGATTTAGCTTAGAGGAGGGAGGGAAAACCTCCAAACTTCTTCCTCTCCCCAGATATTTAGTCAGTACTGGTTTATTTTTTTTTTTTCTTGGTTTTTGATTTGTTTTGTTTGGTTTTCAGTAAGACCTAGTGTAAAAAAGCAACCAACAAATCAAGTTAGACTGTTGTAATTTGGTCAACCACTCGGGTGCTATCCATATCCACCATTTCAACACACTCTATTTCCTCACGGTTTTCAGGATTCTTCTTCTCTTTTCTCTTCTTCTTGGAGGGTGGCAGGAAAGTCAGTATCACAGGTAAAATGGCAAAGCAGTGAAAGAAGGTGACTAATGCTATTAAAAACAAGCACCTGAACAGTGTACGGGTCAGATTTGAAGGCACAGCTGCAAGAGGAATCAGACCAACAATATAGCAGAGGTAGCTCTGCAAAATAGCTACCCCATGCACTTCCAGGGCATTTTTCACCCATTTAGTTCTTGTGAACTCTTTGCCCAGGACAAAGGTTGATAACAGTGGAGCACAGTTGTCAATTGTATAATTAATTCCGTAAATTAAGCACAACACAGAAATACAATCTAGTTCCACTTTCCACAAGGTCATAAAACCTATAACTCCGAATTCAACCGAGGCAACAGTTAGAGTGAGCCAGACATTGATCAGAGAGTCTGCGACCAGGAATGCAGAGAAGAAGAGCAGAAATAAAGCACTAATGCAGGAGTTTTGTAAGGGGGCTCCCACTGAAGAGGCATAACGATCCATGTACACAAATGATGGATTGAAAACGATGAATTTCACCTTGGAGGTGAGAGAGAGCTTCCTCAGGGTCTCCAGGAGGTCATAAAGTTCTTCCCTCTTGGTTTCCATTGTCTTTGCCACCAAGAACATCCTGGAGGCCACAACATCAACTTCATTGTTGTATTTCTTGGAAAAGATGATATCCTCTGAAAAATGGGCAAACTGAGGGGTCTTCAGGAAGGAGTTCCTCAACATATCAGTGAAATTCTTCTTGGGCAATCCAGTAGATATGTTGAGTTTCCTAAGGTAATTTAAGTAGCTTTCGAACCAAGATATCCTCACAAAGCCCTTGGTATACTCCAGCACGTCCTCCTGGACACTGGTGTTCCAGTACTCGATTGACTCGTAGATGTAGAACCCAATCACTGGGCTGTAGTTACTGAAGTACTTCTGCTGGGCAGTCGTATACTCGATGGTCCGTGTCGCAGTCGCTACGATGTTGCTCAGGTCTGACCCTTCACTGACCTGCAGGTAGCCCATTAAGGCAAAGGAAATATAAACAAGGTAAAAGAGAACTACAAAAGGCTTGACATAAGTGTTTGTTATCCAGTCACAATAATAGCGTTTCAGGAACCACACCAAAAGATGACTCTCGTAAGTGTTCGTTTCCTCTGAATCATCTGTGTCCTCACTGAATTTGGCTGTCAGAAGAAACCTATACCATGCAGGCTTCTCTTGCAATACCTCTGGCTTTGGTACCTTTCTGCAGAAGATACTATGCTGGTAGTTGTTTTCTATGTAGCCAGTAAACACCAGGCTGGAACCATAAAAGGAGAGTACATAGAGGTAGTTGAAGAAAATTGCAATACAGGAATTGCAGCAGAAAATCCTGGCTGCTTCAATGTTAGTGAAGGGACTGGCACCTATTCCAAAAGTGACCAGGTACATGGCAGTGGTGAGAGAAAACGAGAGCATGGAGTCTGCAAATACAGCTGCAGTCCTCTCTTTAACATGTTGGTCTTCTCTAGTTTTTCTCCAGGAGGACAACATTTCAAAAGTCCCATATAACCCGTGACCTACAAAACAGAACAAAGTGAGTGTTTAAAGTGCTTGAATCAACACGTGGAAAAATGTAATGTGGACATGCTAAAAACTCAAAGAAGACACAGCTGGCCATTACCCGTGCTTGAAGGAAACGTCCTACAGGGGAGAGAAATGATTACGGAGGTGTGAGCCATGGGAGTGCATTTGCTACCTGACTAGCAAACCTTACTCCAGAGCTTCAGAGTTCTACATCGCTGGCTCAGGATTCATGGGTTAAAGAAAAAGGATTTTATTTTTCTGGCTGGCTGTTTAGTTTCATTATTTCGGAGGGCCTGTGATGGAAGATGCTTTAAATTAGTTTTTCCTGGTGATGGTATCTGACCTGTGGTGAAAACAAACAAATACAACCTGAAGTGCCTACGCAGAAAGCAGAGAAGTAGTTGGCAGCTTTGCAGAAAATCTGTAAAAAATGAAAATTCCATATAAGCTGAAAATTGTCAATTAAATTAGTCACTGATTTGTCCACTTCCTGTACAAATATTCTGTCAGGAAAAAGAAATTCTAGAAGGAAAACAAAGAAAGCACAAATAAATTTTAGAGATGCACAGTGGTAGAGCTGATACAGAGCTGCTTAAGGCATTGGTCTTCTTTATATATCTAAGGGCTTGTAAAACTAAATACAGCCATATCTTCCTTGGCAATGCCTACATTTGATAATGTATTTAATTGACTCTTAAAATGGATATACCATTTACAAAAGGAGATTAAGACCTGCTGACCTAAAATCCTATGTTTAACCCCCAAGTGCAGGTAAATCAAGAAAAGTACATGGTTTTATCTTAATACTTGGCTAGTCATCTTATAGTTTCTATTCTGTGACTGATGGTCAAGATGCATCTGGAGGACACAGACCTCTGCTCTCTCATAGGGGACTTGAGCTGGGAATGCAGCCATTGATCAGCTACCAGGTGAGAGGGGCTGAGGTAAAAGTAGGTTGATGATTTACACAGAGATGAACAGAATACAGTCTTTGTAGCATACCTAAAATGTAAGACTGCAATATTTTCTCATAATAATTCATATTATGTTCATCTTTACTTAACAGTCTTTCCGTCTAATCCAACCCTCTTTGCTGCCTTTAATTCCTCCTCATTCTTTTGCATATTTTGCTGTCACCTATCTGCCTCTCTGGTCTGCTCTTAGATGATCTTCAGAAACTCCCAAAAGCCTTTCCACTGTGTTTTGCTCTTACCCATCTTCCCTGATAATCAGTGCTAAATTAGCTGCTGATAACACTGAAGTGTAATCACTGGACTTTTGAAACTGATGCTCCAGTCAGGCAGGTCAAGGTAATTCACAGATCCCTCTTAGAATTTCAGGCTGTCTGCAGAGCACCAAAATTGCTGTATCAGCTCTTTTCTCTCCACCTGTAGACAATTATCACTTCTGCTACAAGGGCTATAAATAGTCCTCAAGATACCTCAAACAATCAGGTATTCTGGGACTGGAAGACCACAAGATATATTAGGGGGGTTGGAACTAGTTGATCTTGAATGTGCCTTCTAATCCAAGACATGCTAGGGTTCTATGATCATGTTTACTCTTAAATGCATCATATAGGCTAAACATTTAATTAACTTGACAAAATAACCCCTTTACTGGAGGGGCAGTTGTAGCTGATTCACTCCACCCTTCCTGAAATCCAGATTTTAACAGATTACAGAGGTGGCACTCTGTTAATGCTGAAAAGAATAGGTATTTTATAAAGAATTCACAATACAGAGCTCATGAGATAATAGGATAGCTGGTGTATCTCCTTATCACCTGGTAATAAAGCCTGCACTCTCATGTATATCAGATATTTTACCTATTTTGTTATTTAGAGTCATGGCATGGACCTCGAATGTCCAATTTGTAGCAATATTACGGTCCTGGTTTTGGCATTCATCTTAATTTTCCCAAACAATGTTTTACAGCTGCTTTCAGAGGCCAGGTCAAGACTGTCAATTTGATAACTAGCACTGTGCCCCCTCTTAAAGCTAATGGGGAATACTGGAACTCCCCAGACATAAAATCAAGCAAAAAGCACAATCAGTGACTGGCACCCCGTTGCTAATTATGCTTCAAATAGTTATGTTCTAAGCTCAGTAGGGAAAGCTATTAAGCTTGCTTTCAGTGTGTTCTTTGTAAAGACAGACTGACCTTTATTTAAATGTAACTGATCACTTGCCAAAGCAGGGAGTGATAGGTTTAATCCATTTATGGCTCCCATAAGTCCTGCAGACAGGCTCGTCTGAGAATTTCACATGGCATCATATGCATTAGCTTTGAGCAAAACAGAATAAAATGAGGTCATTGAATATTACAAATTACTTCCATCATGAGCTTTAGTTATAGCATGCTTTTGTAAAAAAAAAAAATTCAGCGTTAATAGGGTCTTGCCTAAAAATACTCAAATAGCCATATTAATTTGGAAAGCCTTTGACTCTGCAACGAGAGAAAGAAATTAGAGCTAGATAAATATGATGCTAAACATGACTTTTTAACAGGTAAAAGATTTCGGATAATGTCTGATAACATGACTTCCAATACCACATACTTTCTTTAAGTAGGAAACATAAAACCAATCTTTGCTGATACATAATTTTCGAGACCACCCTAAAATGGAATCTGATTTAGAGAAGTGCTCAAGTAAATGCATGAAGAGGCGTCACCACATGTGCTCCACAAAGCCATGAGAAAAATATTTGGATACTCTTCTATTTTAGGATAGGTTCCTTTTGTTGTTTGCTACACAATCTGTGTGCTAGGAATGGGTATTTTCCTTCAGTTGTACTGTTTGTGATTTCTCTGTCCACTTGTATCATAGCTACAGAATTATCATTTACCTTTAGGAGGATATGCCTAAATGAAAGTTGCACATTTTTTGCATCAGTGGCACTACTGACCTGACCAGTATCCTCTGAGAACAAAATTGGGCCACAACTCATGCACAAATTAGGCAAGGCAGTCAAACGATTAGCTGTATTTAGCTGAGATGGGATTTACCTAACTTAATTTACTCCTCTAAATACTGAGTGTAAACACAACTTGGAGTAGCAATCTCCAACACTGTCTAACTCACTGATGCACATGTAAATCTAACCCACAGAGATTAGAGCAGATAACTCCATGGAAGCATTTGTGAGAATTTTTTTCACTTTTCTGCTATTTCAGAGTTTCCATTTTTTGCATCCTTATCCAATTTGCAGCAATTACCTCTATTTCTCTCACTGGTGCTACATCTACTCTACATAATATTAATGAGAAGGCAGCAATTTTTTCCTTATAAATAAATTCTGCAATTGCTTCAACTGATTTTCTCTTTTTAATAGAGATTTAGCCACAAATCTGTAATCATTTAGAGCAATTTGTTCATTATTCACGGTCATTCAGTAAATAATAAATATGATCTCAAACAGCTAATGGGCTACCGGAGATCTTTTCCTGTTGACATTTGCTTTTATGATTCATTGGTCGTGCCCTACAGTCAGGCTGCACAACCATGAGCTAACAAGGAGTACGCAGAAAGATTTTTTTTTTAAGAAAAAGAGGTTCTGAAGGGGCAAAGGAAAATGCTAAAGGGATAGGAGAAAGGTATTGGACAAAATGGGGATCAAACTTTTCCCCTTATTCTCTTTTTCTGCTACTTAGCATTTAGGAGGCACTCCTACCACATCTTGGATGACTGGGAACAGATGTTCAGGCTTTTGTAGCCAAAGAAAATGAAGATGGTTACTGTTAATTCCACGGAGCTCACAGTTTTTACAGACTGAGGTGCACTACCTTTAACTTCAGAACCTAATACTAATACCACCGACAAAACTAGTAACTTGGGCCTAGCTTAAACACAGCACTTTTATGAGTAGCCTGAAAATGCTATAAAAAGTTTCACTTTCCTCCTTCAGAGTCTTGTAATTACACATGCTTTGCAAAATCGACGCAGAGCAGGCATGAGGAAAACAAGGCACTTGCAGAAAGTTGTGAAAACTAAAGCAACATTTCCTCTTCTTTAAAATTATCAAATTATTTACCTAATTTTAAAATACTACTTAGGTACAGGCACTGAAACTGTTCTTTTTACTACCGTCTTAAAACCTCAAAAGAGAAATGCATCCTTTCCTGTTAAGTTATTGCTCAAGCAAGGGGCCTTTACAAATGGGCATCGGTAGCCCAGGGTTAATGTTGGCTTTGCTTCTGACTGGCAAACTGCAAGACCAAAGCAGAGAGGGGTGAAAGGGTTTAAGCAGCCCCAGAGCTTGTGAGAGGGCAGCAAAGTGACCTCCTGGTCACTGCAGTCAGAGACCAGTTCTCTATTCACTTGGCTTAACTGCTCCCTGAAATAAAGGCTGCTGCCTGCTTTTTTGTTTAAAGATTATGGGAGATGTTCAGTTTTGCACTAACATCATGTTAAGTTTTGATGTTCTTGTAAGATGAGGTTTGGATATTCAAATATACTTCTGTAAGAGAAATTAAGGGGAATGGCTGAGAACAATGTTTTGGTTCCTCTTTCTGCAGTTTTACCTATCTGTGAAACTAGAGAGTAATAGTACATTGTGGGTCTTGGTTTTCTTTCCTTACTGTTTTGAAGATTGCATGTCTCTGTATGTGTTTGATACTTGAGTAAAATCTCTCTGAGTAAAGCATCACTTACAGGTTGTGAAGTTCCAGCCTTCTGTGTAGAAGGTTGCATTTCAGGGGTAATCAATTTTATTAATCCCATTCTAATGCAGAGTCGCGCAAAATGCTAATAAAAATTGATCTCCACCTCAGTGAGGCTGAATGCTGCACCAGTACATATGTTGCCCATTAACTGCCAGAATTAAGGCAAATAAAGCATCAAACTGTCTTCCTAAGGGGGCAGACTTCTCTAGTGGCAGAGCTGGGTTAGTGGGTATTTCTCCCTTCTCAGGCATTAGTTCCCCTCTCTTAGTAAAGTTTGCTGCTCCTATGTGCCTACTAACTAAATGAATGGTTGGGATTAGAAAGAAGC